TTTTGGGGGAGCAGGGGAGGGGGGGGGGGTAGGAGCAGTGGCAGCTCCCCCACACGGCTGCCTCTCTGCGTCGAGATGAGTAGCTTTCTTTCCCCCGCAGTGAGGAAACTACTAAACCCGCCGCACAGCAGCAGGATCGGTGGACTGGGCGGACCTCAAAAAACAGGCTTGGGCCCAATTTGGGCAGCACCCTGCCAACCGAGGTAACAAAACCCCTTGACTATGGGGAACGAAACTTTTCCTTTGGCCCCAACTGCTGAATTGCCCTTGAAAGGCTGTCATGCCCGGCCAGTAGATGGCACGGAGCGCTGTTTGGCGCAGGGGGTATTTTTAACTCCGTGGGGGACAGATGTCCACCAAAATGTGGGAGACTCACGTTTGTGGGAAAAGAATCAGGCGTTGGGTTAGTCTGGATTTCAAACACCTTCCTGCCAACTGACTAAATCCGTCATAATCTGCCCCCCAAAAAGTGCCACTTTAGGGGCTCCTACCTGCTGGGGTGTTCCATTTTTTGTCAGACGGTGCTGGCAGATTACGGGCCTCCCATTTATGCTGCTGGCCCAGGCCCCCTGTAAATCTGCCAATGTGTCCCCAGTAATCCCGCCATCCTCTTGCCTTGCTGCCAGGTCCATAGTCTCTCATGGTCCCCTGTACGCCTCCATTGCTGCTGTCTCCATCGCCACACTCTGCCATGTGCCAACTTTCAGGTCTCCTCACACCAGCTGGTGTGTTACATTTTTTGTCATTAGGTTGGCTGGCAGATTACGGGCCTCTCATGGCATGCTGCAGGGACCCGTAATCTGCCCTTGGGCCCCTGTTACCGCCTCCTTCATCGCCTGCTGCCAGAGTCCAGAGTCTCTCATGGGTCCCTGTACGGCCTCCCATTTGCTGGCTGTCTCCATCGCCACATCTCAGCCATGTGCCACTTTCAGGTCTCCTCACGCTGCTGGGTGTGTGTCCCATTTTTTGTCATTTGGGTGCTGGGCAGATTACGGGCCTTCTCATTGCTGCTGCCAAGCCCGATAATCTGCCAATGGGACACCTGTACCATCCGCCTCCTCATGCCTGCTGGCTAAGTCACCAGAGTCTATCCATGGGTCCCTGTACAGCCTTCCCATTGCTGCTGTAATCCATCGCCTCACTCTTGCCATGTGGCCACTTTCAGTTCTCCTCACACTCGCTGGTGTGTTTACAATTTTTTGTCTTAGGGTGCTGGCAGATAACTGGCCTCTTCATTGCTGCTGGCCAGGCCTGTAATATCTGACCTTGGGCCACTGGACCGCCTCCTCTATGCTGCTGCAGGTCCAGGTCAGAGTCTCTAATGGGTCCCTGTAACGGCCTTCCCATTGCTGCTGTCTCCAATCCGCCACAACTATCTGACCATGTGCCCACTTTCTAAGGTCTTCCTCACAACTGCTGGTGTGTTTTCATTTTTTGTCAGAGGGTGCTGGCAGATTACCGGCCTCCCATTGCTGCTGCCTAGGCCCGTAATCTTGCCAATGGGGCCCTGTACCGCCTTCCTCATGCTGGCTGGCCTAGGTCCAGTGTCCTCTCATTGGGTCACCTGTACGGCCCTCCCATTGCTGCTGTTCTCCATCGCCACACTCTGCAATGTGCCAACTTTCATGTCTCCTCACACATGCTGGTGTGTTCCATTTTTTGTCATTAGGTGATGGCAGATTAACGGGCCTCTCATTGCTTGCTGCCAGGCCCGTCATTCTGCCATGGCCCCCTGTACCGCCTCCTCAATGATGCTGCCAGGTCCAGAGTCTCTCATGGGTCCCCTGTACGGGCCCTCCCATTGCTGATGTCTCCATCGCCACACTCTGCCATGGTGCCCACTTTCAGTATCTCCTCACAGTACGATGGTGGGTGCCTTTTTTGTCCATTTATAGGGTGCTGTATGGCCTCCCATTGCTTCTGCCTCCACGCGCCGCACTGTGGCTCCCACACTATGGTTTTGGCCCCGTGTGACTTGCCCAATTGAGTGAAGTGTGCGGTGATTCGAAGAATCGGCCGGCACCACTGTTACAATCTGCCATGTCATAAACCATGAATGACAGGTAATTATTTCTCTTCCCCAGCCAGATTCCGAAGCGGCTATATTAAAGTTAAGGTTACATGTGTTCTGCACTAATTAATAAAGGCTCTCTGAAGCCTAGAAAACACCACTTTTATAAGTTAACAATCGCAGCGCATATATTCGCCATCAACAAAAATCGAATTTATTCCTCCGATTCGCCGATTCAGCCGAATCGAATTTTTGAATACTTCGCTCATCTCTAATATGTACACAGTAAGCGTCAAGTTCTGAAGCGCCTCCAACTGTTAGACACAATTATGCCACACCTCACAATTTCTCACAGGCAGCTGTGCTAATTATTGTCCTCTGACCTAGGTCAGACTCCCCCCCACTTCCCCCATGAAAAATAATTATATAATCAGCCCAGCAGTTCCCCAGCCATGCGAATGTGTGTGAACGCTAGCATTAGTGTACCTTCAGGCAACAGACCGATCTCCCCTGAAGCGAAATTTTACAATGTTTTGTTGCAACTCTGAGCCAAAGGCTACATTTCCACACTGTCTCATTATATTACCTTTTAACTACTGGCCAGTGCAGAGTTCCCCCAATTGTTATTTGGTATATTCCTAAAATACTTTGTCTGTTTTGTATCATGAGATAACATGTTTTTTATAGTGAATTGGACTTTAAAAATGGAATTCCAGTCAATTGCTAACTAAGGCTAAACCTATGCCACCCCCATTCTAAAGCTATTCTACGTACAAACATAATGGTAACTGCCCCAATCTTAACTGGTCTTTGCAGAAAAGAGCTATTCTAACTCTAACCCTGTAAGAAAAGATGTGTATGCTTACCTATTCTAAAGGACACTCCAGTCCAGTCTCCAGCACAGTTTCTGTGTGCAGAGAGCAAGCCGACAAATGGCTGGGAAATGCCTGGGGGATGGCATCACCCCTTAGACTTACTATAGGACATCTGTTGTCAGCTGCCCTCCTGCACACAGAAACCACCGCTGACAGCTCAGCCAGTATTTACCTCACAAATTTGATTTTTTCACTTTGACCAACTGACTCTTTATTTTTGCATACGATATAAAACAATGGACACCCTTGCCCCAAGTGCACAAACGCGCAACCCAACTGCCGTATTCCCATATATCCAAAAAATGTCTTAGTCTTTTCTTAGTTAAACGGCCTATAAAATAAATGTACATGAATTTTATCAGTTAAAATCTACAGTGGATGTTAAGTGGTCCCCTTTGATCCATTGTCTTGAATCAATTTTTAATAAGTCAGCTTCTCAGTCCATCTCTCCCCACCTACACACACTGCCTTCAAGGCCCTCTCTGATGTGCAGCAGGGCAGGCGAGTACCTCAAGCACATATTGGGCCTCCCCAAGCCATTAGTACATCCTTGATACCCAGTAGTCCATCCATGGATTTAATCATTTGTATGTATTTTAACACACACTTCACGCCCGCCCTATAGTTACATGAACTTGTGGGCGCAAGTTGGTTCTCTCGTTCTGATAGGACGTCACGTCCCCCCCTTACCATCTCCTTCCATTTCTCACCCTCTGCGCAATGCGTGGCTCAGGGAGCGCGCAGCGCGGCGATCGCCAGTGCGCTGTGTCCACTCGGACAGCAGCAGATCACGGAAAGAGCCGAAGATGTCGGCTCGGTCTTGTGATTCAGCTGTGTCCAATCACAGCTGATCACATGTTAAACAGGGAAATGACGGTTATCGGCATTTCTCGTACTCTCGAGCTGCTCACGCTGGCTCAGCTCGCACGCGACGAGGGGTGCCCGCCCCCCCCCCTGAGCCAGTAATCGGCTTTCCGCGGAGGGGACATGTACCACTGATTCATCATGGGCACTGATGATCAGTGTGCCCTGATGATCAGTGTGGCCCAGAAGTGCCACCTGTCAGTGCTCATCAATGCCACGTGACAGTGCCCCATCAGTGCAACACGAGCCAGTGACCATCAGTGCCACATCAATGCCATATCAAGTGCATACAGTGCACATCAATGCCACATATCAATGCCCATCTGAGCTGCCTTTCAATGTCGCCCATCAGTGCCAGTCAGTGCCACCTATCAATGCCAGTCAGTGCCCCCACCTATAGATCTATGCAATCAGTGCCACCTATCCAATGCCTATCAGTGCCATTTATATCAGTGCCATATATCAGTGTCATGTATCAGTGTCATGTAATCAGTGTCATTGTATCAGTGTCATGTATCAGTGTCATGTATCAGTGCTGCCTTTCAGTGCCAGTACTGATGCCTGTCAATGCCCCATCTGTTGCAAACTACCAGTGCCCTCCGCATCAGTGCCCATCTCAGTGCAGTGCCACCTATCAGTGTACATCATGTGCAGCCTATCAGTGCCCATTCACTGCAGCCTCATTAGCGCACTTCAGTGAAGGAGAAAAATCACTTATTTACAAAATTGTATAACAAAAACTAAGAAAAAACTTTTTTTTTTCAAAATTTTCAGTGGGTTTTTTTGGTTTGTTAAAATAAAAATAAAAAATCCAGAAGTGATTAAATACCACCAAAAGAAAAGCTCTATCTGTCTTCAAAAAAATGATAAAAATGTCAGATGGGTACAGTGTTGCATTGACCGCGCAAATTGTCATTCAAAATGTGACAGTGCTGAAAGCTGGAAATTGGCCTGGGCAGGAATGGGGGGTAGTTAAAGTGCCCTGTAGGCTAGTGGTTAAAAGGAAGAGCTAAAGGAGGAAGGGGAGGAGGAGTACAAGGCATTGGGGTTGAAGGAGGGGAATTAGTAAGTCTCACCAAACCTTTTTTTTTTTTTTTTTTTTTCCTCCATGTAGAACCCTAGTTCTGGTGACCTGGAGGGGCTCAAGGGGTTTCCTTAATTTTCAGGGATTCCTTCTCACTTCCTTTTTTTGTCTGTGGGACAGGGAGTAAAGGTAAATTCCCAGAGAGATGGTAAATAAAGAGAAAATGTACAGAGGTTATAACCTTCCCCTACTGTATTCAAAATGAGAAAAAAAGTTGTGCCTATAGTTTTTACCTTGAAAGAAAATTAAGTGTGTCCCTGCTAATGCCCATTTTTTTACAATAGTTTAACTTATTAGCTTTAAACATGGTCAGAAACTAGTATAAAGATTAGTTTTCAATGGGGGTTTGCGGCTTGATTCTGGCTTTGCAGATTTCAAGCAGGATTTGGTGACTTCCCCACAAATTGAAACCAGACAGATTAGCTCAACGCTAGTAATGAGCAGTGCCAACTTTCAGAACTTGCTGCATAATCTGTTACCTCTCAGATCCTTCTTAGATCTTACCTCAATCTCAGTGAAGCAGTTGAAGGAGTTAACACAGAAAATGTAAAATGTGATATTTCCAGGAAAATAAAAAGGTGGACTTTTAATCCATTGTGTATTCATCAATACATCATTAAATATATTTGTCCTGCCTTCTCTGCAGTTATGAAAGGGTTACAGAGGATTACAGGCAGTATAACCTTTGATGTCCCACACAGTAAAGAGTCGTGATCATAATGAGAATGAATGCGCGTGAATAAATGTGGTAAAACTGAAATACAAACAGAATAAACAAACATAAGTACATATCTAACTTCCTAGCTATGTGTATAACATTCCACAGTACATAGGAGGGGTACTTACAGACTTTGGGGGTCTAATCAAGCCCATATATGAAGAGAGAACAGCATCCCACATGTACTTGCATTGTAGAATTTCTTCAGTCTGAAGAGATGAGGTCACTTCCTCCCAAGTTAGCAGACAGGAAGTCCTGGCCTTAAAGGGACAGACACTGCTGAATGCTAAAGAATGCCTTGTGTAATACAAGGCAGCACAATATTGTATATACCGCCACTATCTGTGCATATCTAAAATGTGTCTTTATATTAGCTTCCCTAATCCCTTGCAAAAAGGAAGGGCCTAGACAAATATGCCTCTATTGCACTGAAGGATGCAACCAGGTGGGCAGCGAACAGAGAAAGCAAGCACAGGGCTAATCTATTTAAAATGAATGTGTATTTTCTTTCTTTATTATGTTTAAGATGAAAATTAAATGAATTTTTGAAAAACTGTTTTCTTCTTTTTTTAGACGTATATATAAAATAATAGTTTTAGGAAGTCTTCTGTACTCTAGTATCCTTTCCATATCATTCTGATGATTATTTTGCAGCTGTGTGGAAATAAGCCAGTTGTTTACAGAGCTCCAATGAGTCATCAGAGCAGTGACTCATCTCTTACCAGAAAGCAAAGTCTAAGATTTCTATCAGCAAGCTGCCCCATGCTGTTGTCTCTTTAGATAACCCATAGTGCTCTGGAAACTATTTGTCATGTACTAAATATTTATTTTTAAACATAGATAGTGCATAGGCAGTGAAAAAAAACAGATATAAAACAATAGCTTAAAGTGGTAGTAATCCAAGGCCTTTACAAAAAAAAAAAAACCTGCAAGACAATCACATAATGTGCTAGTATACATCACATACTACTAGCACATTATGAAGTACTTACCTTGGAACAAAGCCCTCCAACGGCGTGCTGTCACCACTGACAGGGCTTTCATCTTCACTCGGTTTTCCTTCCAGGTTCTCATGCTCTGGCTATCTGAGCGGCCAGGCCATGATGACATAGCTCCATGAGAGTTTAGGCCACAGCTCAGAGCTCTGAAGGGATGGCACAGGTATGCTGTCCCTTCAGAGCACATGCACCAGTGATGTCTCTAGCTGTATTCAGTGTGAATATCTCCTAACCACACAGGTTTAGCAAAATATTCACTGTACCTACAGGTAAGTCTTATATAGCACTATCTCCTTAGGAGTCATTGAAGATTTGGGTCCCCCTATAGTCCTGCACAGCCAAGCAGGAGGTGCATCTCCTAGAGAGGGTTCACCCACCAGTCTGGGACTTGTTGACGATATGTGAGAGCCTACTGCATGGACTACTTGCTGAAAATCCTAAGTGCCTTCAGAGAAATGATGAACTAACTACCGATAATAAGCCTTGCAAGGGGGAGCATTTTTTGGAAGCGTGCTTTTGGGAGTTTGAGCTTCGTTGGACCCACCAGGGAGACTGAGATGACCCCAGAGTGAGACTTACCATCCCTGATGACCGGATGCTGTTTCTACTGCTGATGGGGCCCTGATGTCTACCGATGATCTACTTGATATTACACATACAATGCTCAGTTTGTATGTCCCTGTGGTAAGCGCATAATTATACTAGATTTTCTGAATATACGAATCTGGATTCGGAACGCACCAATTTCTGCGGATGTCACCTGGTGTATCTCATACCTCTTATATCAACTAGCATTGATTTATGAACTTATCACTATAGGTTCTGCTGTTCCTGACTATTTGAATATATGAGTCTCAATACAAGGACTGCTATATGTTTTTGGGATTTGGTTGATCTCTATATCTGTAAATCACAATATCATTCATCTTATCATTTTTTAGTGCTGCATACCCTATACATATTATTTCATTTGAGGTGCTGAGGATTGCCTTATATGCTAGCAACTCTCTCTGTATTTTGCGCTCACTTACTTTCGTTTTGATTTATATGACCAAGAATATGGCTGCTGCAAGACCACTGGGTTATATGTTCCTTTAAATTGTCTTTTGTGACTCCTCTGACCATGTTTATGGTCTATGCACTGCATTACCAGTGTTTCTTATTTCTGGCAGCAATCCTGCAAAGTTTACAGGCCAAAAGTTTGATATTTGTGAACTTTGCAAATCCTAAAACCTCATACCATCTCTATACTGTACAATTACATCTCCAGTGCTCCCTCACTGCTTTTTTATTCTATCACAGCCATCACCAAACGCATCTGTTAGCTGGAGTCCAAGATCAGAGGGAGCAGTGACATCACTCCCTGCATCATGTGAAAGCATTCAAGAAAAGTGGATGCCTTCTAGACTTAAGCACATCATGATGGGAGGAGTAGTGTTGGGTTCGAACATTGGCCATTCGTGTGTTTGCGAAAAACTGAACAGTAAGGATGTTTGGCGGGCTATTCACCTGCCGAGCACACCACAATGCACTGCGCTCTCACAGTGCATTGTGAGAGCCATGATTGGCCAAATGCTTTGGCCAATCACAGCACAATGCACTGTGAGAGCCATGATTGGCCAAAGTCATGGTGACTTTGGCCAATTATGTCCACAATCCACACTATGTAAGGCTGCTTACACAGCAGCCTTGTGTAGTGAGTTGCTGGAGTTTAGTGGAGTTAGTGGTGTTAGGAGTATAGTGTAGTGTAGTGTGGTGTTGTGAAGAACAGTATAGTAGTGTCAGTGAAGTGTCAGTGTGTTTTACAGCACTTCTGCATCATCTCTGATCCCATTTTTTTTTTTTTTTGCAACATTAGTGTTCCCCCTTCTGTGTCGCTGGTGTGTTCCTCCTTCTGTATCAGCAGTGGTTTCCTTTTTCTTTCTTTTTTTTTTTCTTGCTTTCCTACATTTTTTTAAAATTTGAATTCTTTATTTTGCCTCAGCAGTAAAAGTATTTAGAGCATAATTGCTGTTCCCCATTCTGTGTTGCTGATGTTCCTCCTTATGCGTCAGCCATGGCTTCCTTTTTTTTCTCCTTGCTTTCCTACATTTTTTAAAATATTTTATTTATTTATTTTACCACAGCAGTAAAAATATTTAGAGCATAATTTCTGTTCTCCATTCTATGTCAGAGGTATTCCTCTGTCTGCATCAGCAGCGGTTCCCTTTTTTTTTGGCTGTCTGAATTTTTTTTTTTCAGCACAACTCCAGGCAGGATGTCCTCCAGGGGCAGGTGTATGGGTAGCCACCCTATTGCATTATACGACAGAGCTCCACAGGTGCAGGGCACTTCTGACTCCCCACTGACTTCCAAAAGTTCATTGGTGTGGGCTTTTTTCAATACATGTGCAGCAGACCACAGCGTTGCTGTTTGCAGGGCCAAAACACCAGCCGCTTGGGCACCACATGCTTGACAAGATATACAACGACCTGCCATACAGCCTGTTGGCAACAGCACCTGAAAGACCCACAACATAAAAAGTGCAGACTTCTCCTTGTTCCTCATCTGGGATCTCTACCCCTACTATATCTCAATTCTTCTTAACAGCCTCCACTGAGAGGGATGATGGTACAGCAATGGGTGCCACAAGTCCTTGCACCCAACCTGCTAGCAGTACACCACTTTTTGATTTCACCAGGCAAATTTTGCTACCCCAGTTCCAGAACTATAAAATAAAATAAAATACTGTCCCACCCATCCACATGTTCAACATCTAAATGCTAGCTTTGCCAAATTGTTAGCATTACAACTGCTGCCTTCCCATCTGGTGGACTCTGCCACCTTCAGTGAATTTGCTGAATGTGCTGTACTACAGTGACAGGTTCTGAAAAAATATTTTTTTTTCACGTAAGGCCATTCCAGTTCTGTGATATCATGTAGAAGGCAATGTTTTGGCCTCGTTGGACACGGTGGTCAGCAGCAAGGTCCACATTACTGCTGACACATGGTCCAGTAGGCATGGTCAGGGATGTTACATTTCTATCACGGCGTACTGGGTAACCCTGCTGGCAGCTGGGAAGGATGCAGGACAGGGTTCAGTGCTGGAGCTTATTCCACCACCAGGCCTCCAAAAAGCTGGGTGTTCGTAGGAAGTGCTGGGAGCCACCAGCAGCATCGCCTTACACCGAACTGACACTATTGGACAGTGATTCGCACTCTAGTCCACAGCAGATGTTATTTACATGACAAGCGACCTCTCACCATGTATCTTGCGAGTTGCCTGTATCTTATTATTTATTAATGTTTTTAATCTGCTGCACTTAGAAGGTGTCGCTCTTTCTTCCCTTCGATCTCTCCGCAGAGTCTCTTCTCTTCTAGCTCTCCTCCAGCTGGCAGCCTCTAAATTACGCTATCCATATGGACTTTAATCATCCATAAGGACATTCTCTGCATCACAATAGGACTGTCACAGTGTTCTGTGGCCTTGTTCATTCTGCCAAGACCATTACAGTACCATTCTGAGTGTGCCAAATACCTAAGCCAAGTAAGGGATCATTACTGGTTGGAAACCCTTCTTGATCCACGTTACAAGGGTAAAGTTGCACAGCTCATCCTGCCTTCACAGAGGGAGCATAGGATAAAGAATCTTGAGGACACCTTGAAGAAAAATGTGTGTAACACCTATCCAGACACTGGGAGGTTACCATATCCTGGACAATGTGTTTCTGATGCTTCATTTGGTCAAAAGAAGAGCGGTGGAGAAGGCGGTCAGCTGACCGATGCCTTTAAACAATTATTTAGTCCTCAGCACCCAGGGCTGTTAGGTTTAAGCACCCATCGGCAGCTTCTGCATCATATAGTGCAGGATTATCTAGGGGCAAGAGCAGACTTAGAGACTTTTCTATCTGTGGATCCACTGGGTTACTGGGTCTTGACGATAGATCTCTGTCTAGAACAGTGGTTCTCAACCTTTCTAATGCTGCGACCCCTTAATACAGTTCCTCATGTTGTGGTGACCCCCAACCATAAAATTATTTTCGTTGCTACTTCATAACTGTAATTTTGCAGTGGGAGGAGTAGTGCCATGTCATTGGTGTCAGTGGGAGGAATAGTGTCCCATCACTGATGTCAATGGGAGGAATAGTGCCCCATCATTGGTGTCAGTGGTAGGAATAGTGTCCCATCATTGGTATCAGTGGAAGGAGTAGTGCCTCATCATTGGTATCAGTGGAGGAATAGTGCCCCATCATTGGTATCAGTGGGAGGAATAGTGCCCCATCATAGGTGTCAGTGGGAGGAATAGTGCCCCATCATTGGTGTCAGTGGGAGGAATAGTGCCCCATCATTGGTGTCAGTGGGAGGAATAGTGCCCCATCATTGGTGTCAGTGGGAGGAATAGTGCCCCATCATTGGTGTCAGTGGGAGTAATAGTGCCCCATCATTGGTGTCAGTGGGAGAATAGTGCCCCATCATTGGTGTCAGTGGGGAGGAATAGTGCCCCAACATTGGTGTCAGTGGGAGGAATAGTGCCCCAACATTGGTGTCAGTGGGAGGAATAGTGCCCCATCGTAGGTGTCAGTGGGAGCAATAGTGCCCCATCGTTGGTGTCAGTGGGAGCAATAGTGCCCCATCGTTGGTGTCAGTGGAGGGAGGAATAGTGCCCCATCATTGATGTCAGTGGGAGGAATAGTGTCCCATCGTTGATTGTCAGTGGGGGAGGAATAGTGCCCCATCATTGGTGTCAGTGGGGGGAGGAATAGTGCCCCATCATTGGTGTCAGTGGGGGGGAATAGTGCCCCATCATTGGTGTCAGTGGGGGAATAGTGCCCCATCATTGGTGTCAGTGGGAGGAATAGTGCCCCATCATTGGTGTCAGTGGGGGGAATAGTGCCCCATCATTGGTGTCAGTGGGAGGAATAGTGCTCCATCATTGGTGTCAGTGGGAGGAATAGTGCCCCATCATTGGTATCAGTAGGAGGAATAGTGCCCCATCATTGGTGTCAGTGGGAGGAATAGTGCCCCATCGTAGGTGTCAGTGGGAGCAATAGTGCCCCATCGTTGGTGTCAGTGGGGGGAGGAATAGTGCCCCATCCTTGGTGTCAGTGGGGGGAGGAATAGTGCTCCATCATTGGTGTCAGTGGGGGGAGGAATAGTGCCCCATCATTGGTATTAGTGACAGCAATGATGGGGCACTATTCCTCTCACTGACACCAATGATACTTACCTTGCTGACCCCTGCTCCAGCCTGGGCTCGCTCGCTCCCTCCCTCTCCCATGGTACAGACACTTACCGGTCAGATGTCTTCCTTCTCCGGCCGCTCTCCTCCTCTTCACTCGCTCGATCTTCGCGGTGCCGCTCGGCTCCTCCTCTCCAAGCTCCACCTCCTCGCCGGTGATTGGCCGCCTGTGTGCCTCTCCTGAGCTACAGTTCCGGCGGCCAATCACCGGCGAAGGATTGATCCCGGGGGTGTGCCCAGATGACAGGGACGGCATGTCATCCCGCCCACACCTGGAGACGGATAGAGGAGCGGTGTCTCAGTTCCTAAGGCCATCGGAAATATGTATTTTCCGATGGTCTTAGGCGACCCCTGGGAAAGTGTCGTTCGACCCCCAAAGGGGTCGCGACCCCCAGGTTGAGAACCGCTGGTCTAGAACTTGCTCTATATGCAACTGAGCTACATGCCTGTCCTGCATCCAGCATGCTTTCTGAACATTTAGTGCTGCTGGAGGTTTTGTGATGGATAAAGGAGTTCATCTGTCCACAAACTCCATTGACCAGATGACATTTATCAAAATGAATCAGTCCTGGATCAACATGTTCCCCCATATCCACAGAAAAAGGGGAGATTGGGGACTGCTGGAGAGGAAATCATAAAGTATTCAGGGGCTTCTACTTTACATGGAATATACAAGATAACATTGTTTCTTTAAGCAGTTTAGAATTGAGAGAACCCAGTATTGTGTCAGGTTGCAAGTTCATTTCCTGATATGTCTTTACACCTCCCCACTTTATCCTGTGATATCCCATAACCCCTTTCACTTGTCAAAAGCCAGTCCATTATTTCTTTAAGAATTAAATTGGAATTTCTTCTATAAATTAGCCCGCTTAAGGTTTTACCTAATATTAATGTGATAATAATAATGTATCATTATTATATATTGTATATATGAGTAAAACAAGTCCCATTGGATAGTTACAGGTTGGTCATATCCTACAGATGGCATTTCCTGCAGAACTGTTACTATGGACAGTCTGTGCAAGGACAGGTAGATCTGTCATCTCCTGACAGTTCCGGAGAGTAGCCTCCAGGTATGGCCATCTACTATATGTAAAAGGGTATGTAAACCATAATAATGAACTCATTTGGTCCCTTCTAGTCCGTTAAATATACAATTGAAAGCAATTTGTTTTTTCTGTTTGGTACAGTTGTGACCAAAATTATTCAACCCCCACTGAAATTGAGTGTTTTGGCCAGTTTGACATTGCTTTTGATCATTCAGTCATCTTGCTTACATTTCATTAAAGAGGCACTTGTAGGTCAGACAAATATCATAACAGTTATAATGAAATAACCACAAATGTCTTTTCTGTGCTCACAGCATTATCAGTTTTATTCAACCCCCAAGTGACATTCAATCTGATACAGTACAGCATCCTTTTGTTAGTTACTATTGACACTGGCCAATGAAGACACCAACAATAGGAACTCATTTACTACTGGTAGTTACATAAACAATTGCTCACAAACAAACATTCTGGGAGGACTCCAGTTCAGTCACATTCTTAGGCTTGCGCACTGCACTGCCTTTGTTTTAAGTCCCACCAGAAGAAGAGAGGGGGTGACTGCGATGGCCACTCCAAAATGTTCCAGCCTTTCCTCTGCAACCATGCTCTAGTGGACTTGGAGGTATGCTTGGGATCATTGTCCTGTTGAAAGGTCCAACGTCTCCCAAGCCTCAGGTGTGTGACGGACTGCTGTTTCCATCCAATATCTCCCTGAAGAGAATTCAGGTACCTTGCACGCTGAAGCTTCCCTGTACCTGCAGAAGCAAACAGCCCCAAAGCATGATTGACCCTCCACCATGCTTCAAGTGGCAAGGTGTTCTTTTCATCATAAAAAACAGCGTTTTGGGCCCAAACAAAATCAGAAAAGCAACTTTTGTGGTTTGTCCACATGGCTTTTGGCATACTGCAGTCGACTCTTCTTATTCTTTGGAGACAGCAAGGGGGTACGCCTGGGAGTTGGTACGCAGTGTGCGTCTTATTGTCTGGGCTGAAACTTCTGTACCCACATCTGTCAGTTCCTCAGCAGTCACACGGGGACTTCTCTCCACTCTACGTGAGTAGCGCACAGCAGTCGAAGTCAGCATCATTCTTTCTGCCACGACCAGGTAGCGTTTCAACAGTGCCCTTTGCCTTGAATTTGCGAATGATGCTTCTAAGGTGTCTCTTGGTATGTTTAACATCTTTGCAATCTTCTTATACACTGTGAAGAGAAATCATGGACCATTCTCTTGCCTTCACATGTTTGTAACCACACCAGTAAATGTAGAAGGAGCTGAGTATCACAGTCATTTTAAAGCTGCCTAATTGGTGCTTATTATGCTTGATTGCTGCTCGGTGTCCAAATACCTGATGGAAAGCACCTGTATGAACCTCTGTTCTTCAGAGTGGTAGTCTTTAAATAATAATTGTGGCAACCACATAAGAACCATTTACTACTGCTAAACAAATGTCTGCTGGCAGTTACAACGTCCTTGTAGGAGTCTGAACACCCCTATAGTCCCTAAAATTTCCAAATTTTGGCCCACTTAGCAATTTCCCTCACTTCCGGCTCTCTGTCATGTGATCACTCGTTAGTTACTATTGTTACAAACAAGTGCTCACTGTGAATGGGAGCAGGTGTGTGTGGCAAAACCAACAAATGGAAATAACACGAAAAACAGTTTGAAAATAGAAAAGCAATAAATATTCTATCTTTTCATGTGCCAACACTGAAGAAATGAACAGCTACAACCTGTAAAGTTGGTGTTATCGCTCTCACGCTATACAGTATCTCACAGAAGTGAGTATTGGTCACATTTTGGAAGTTCAAAACAGGCATGCTCATGGTACACCCCTAAGTGAAAAAAGCCCAAGCTTTCTGTCATGGATCGTTAGTGTTACAAAAAATGGGAGCAGGTGTGTTAAATTTGGTGTTATGCTCTACACGCTCTCCTATTGGTCAAGGTGACCTAGGCTACTTTCTGAGGATCTGAAAAAAAAAGAATTGCTCTACAAGACCCTATAAGAAGAAAACCCTTAAGCTGCAGCACAGTGGCCAAGACCATACAGTGGTTTAACAGGACAGGTTCCACACAGAACAGCCTCACCACCATGGTCGACCAAAGAAGTTGAGTGCACGTGCTCAGCGTCATATCCAGAGGTTGTCTTTGGGAAATAGACATATGAGTGCTGCCAGCATTTCTGCAGAGGTTGAAGTGGAGGGAGGTCAGCCTGTCAGTGCTCAGACCATACGCTGCACACTGCATCAAATTGGCTAGCATGGCTATCTTCCCAGAAGGAAGCCTCTTCTAAAGATGATGCAAAAGAAAGCCCGCAAACAGTTTTGCTGAAGACAAGCAGACTAAGGACATGGATTACTGGAACCATGTCCTGTGGTCTGATGAGACCAAGATACACTTATTTGGTTCAGATGGTGTCAAGCATGTGTGGCGGCACCCAGGTGAGGAGTACATAGGCAAATGTGTCTTGCCTACAGTCAAGCCTGGTGGTGGGAGTGTCATGGTCTGGGGCTGCATGAGTGCTGCCGGCACTGGGGAGCTACAGTTCATTGAGGAAACCATGAATGCGAACATGTACTGTGACATACTGAAGCAGAGCATGATCCCCTCCCTTCAGAGACTGGGCTGCAGGGCAGTATTCCAACATGATAAAGACCCCAAACACACCTCCAAGATGACCACTGCCTTGCTAGAGAAACTAAGGGCAAAGGTGATGGACTAGCCAAGCATATCTCCAGACCTAAACCCTATGCACAAGAAAGCCTGCAAACAGTTTGCTGAAGGCAAGCAGACTAAGGACATGGATTACTAGAACCATGTCCTGTGGTTTGATGAGACCAAAGTAAACCTATTTGGTTCAGATGGTGTCAAGCGTGTGTGGCGGCAACCAGGAGAGGAGTACGAAGACAAGTGAGTCTTGCCTACAGTTAGGCATGGTGGTGGGAGTGTCATGGTCTGGGGCTGCATGAGAGCTGCCGGCACTGGGGTGCTACAGTTCATTGAGGGAACCATGAATGCCAACATGTACTGTAACATAGTGAAGCAGAGCATGATCCCCTCCCTTCAAAGACTGAGTCGCAGGGCAGTATTCCAACATGATAACGACACCAAACACACCACCAAGACGACCACTGCCTTGCTAAAGAAGCTAAGGGTAAAGGTGATGGACTGGCCAAGCATGTCTCCAGACCTAAACCCTATTGAGTATCTGTAGGGCCTCCTCAAACTTAAGGTGGAGGAATGCAAGGTCTCTAACATCCACCAGCTCCTTGATGTCATCATGGAGGAGTGGAAGAGGACTCCAATGGCAACCTGTGAAGCTTTGGTGAACTCCATGCCCAAGAGGGTTAAGGTAGTGCTGGAAAATAATGGTGGCCACACAAAATATTGACACTTTGGGCCAAATTTGGACATTTTCACTTAGAGGTGTACTCACTTTTGTTGCCAGCTGTTTAGACATTAATGGTTGTGTATTGAGTTATTTTGAGGGGACAGAAAATTACACTGTTATACAAGCTGTACACTCACTACTTCACATTGTAGCAAATTATCATTTCTTCAGTGTTGTCACATGAAAAGATATAATAAAATATTTACAAAAATGTGAGGGGTGTACTCAGTTCTCTGAGATACTGTATATAAAAAAAAAATTGGTTCAGGGCTTAGATACACTTTAAGCTTCTGTATACTATATGCATTTGTCCTATGTGCTTGACAAACTTAAGTACAGAAAATGAGTTTAGCATCCCTTTTAAATACATTGTAAAGTTCAATGAGACTGAAAGTACCTATATTACTAGTATAATTTCAACCGTTTTATTAACCCCTGATGAAGACATTCAGTAAAAAGATAAAACCCTCTCTCTGTACATACAGTACA